ATGATTATTTTGTCAGCATGTGAAATTGTATCCTGTTAAGTCTCCCTTCTTTGGTATTGGCATGTAGTCTCTTCCAATTTATTGTCTACTGTATTGTTCCCAGATTTGCTGTCACAGTTTGGTTCCTCTGTGGCTTGCCATAATTCTGTAGATATTCCATCAATTCCTGTAGTCTTCTGACTTGGTAATGATGGAGTGCTGATCTAGCTTCATCTTGTAGTAGTAGAGGTCCTTGTAAATAGGGAATATCCTTTAATGTTGCATTTAATATTGAATTATCTCCCTTTAATGTATATTGCTGTCTGTGTGCAAAGATTATCTCTGCAGAATTTTAATATTTATGAGTCACTTAGAACCAAAATTCCATTTTAAAAAACAGTGCATTCATTTTAAGCCTGCCTGTGTGCTGTTTGGATTTTCAGACGAATCGAGATAGGTAACGCGACCCTCCTGATTGCTGTCCACTAGAGGGCAGCACTGCTTTTATATCTGAAATTAAGGAGTACAAAATATGTGGATCGCTTTTTTCTCGATGTTGTTGTCAGCTGATTCTCTAAGCAGAGCATGTTTGCAGGCCGGTTTACATTTAAACCACTATGGATTATTTGTGTAAAATTAACTTTTTCTGACTGAGAGCTCAATTTTACAACTTGATTATTATAGCTGCTTCTCATGGATGGGAACTAGACAATGCTTATCTGTTTATAATTTCCCTTTTTAACCCAGAGATACTGAATTTTGCAGGGAAACCAATTCTTTTTCAGAGTATAAAATGTCATAATAACCTAAGAGACATAGTAAATGCCAAAATAACTATTAAATGTTGATACAAATCAAATTGAGTTTTTAGTGTTTTTCAATATTAAATAACTGTACACAGCATTCTCTTCCCCAGGCTGGAATACTTGAATGGTTTGATTTGAAAGTCGAACTATGGTAACTATCTTAGAGGAAGAATAAAGCTAAACAAAATAATACCCTGCAATCATATGTTCCTGGATGGAACTGTGAATCTGCCAATATAACAAAGGGCAGGGCTGTTGCAGAGAAGCTGGCCTGCCTTCTGTGGCTTTACTTTGTTTGAAGCACAGCTGGAGAAAAAATTAAAAACTGATGGGTGTGTATGCTAAATTGGAGAATCTAATTGTTTTAGAAACTCCATGTTTCACCATGTCGTTACTTTCTAAAGTGACTTTTGTTTATGATTTACAAGCTCTGTTTATGTCACTGATAAAAGAACAAGAACAATTTGAAAAGCTTTTGATTACTTTGGATTGGTTTATGCTAAGTTTATGGTTTACAGTAGTTACAAGGTTGTGGATTCTTTTCATGTCTGCTCAAATACCACTCTGGTATTTCCGATTGGAAGATTAATTCATTGTGCAATTTCATTACACATTTGTCAACTTTGGGCTAATTATTTTTATACAGCTAGGACTGGGCCTTTGGTGATCGTCTTTCTTACTAATAGGATTCTGTCTGCTTCAGCAGGCAGTAAATGAAGGCTTCATGTAGAGAGTAGGAACAAAGTTTTAGCATGAATGGGCTATTGTAACAGCTTCTGGTAAATTTGAAAAGAGAAGGAAACAACTTGGATTAGAACTACACTAAAAAAAAAAAAGCATGGACTAGTCCTAGTTGAAAAGTGTTGCAAATATTTTGCAACCAGAGATTCTATATGTGAATAAACAATTAGAATCTTTTTCTAAAATAAGGAATAATGTAGTGGCCTTTTGATTTTGATTTCTGGACCATCTTATTTTTATCTACATTCTGAGAGTGAAGAAGAGACTGGGAATAGAAGCAGTGGTTTAGAAATCAGCAGCTTATTACTTTAGAATTTAAATCAGGAATATTTTTCCTGATTAGACATTGCTTTATAGCTTTCTTTGAAGGACAAGGGTAATTATATATCCTTTAGAGTTTTATTTTTTTCTTTATGAAAGTTATCAAGCATTCCTGTAAGTATAAGATTTGCTTTTCAGAATGAGTATACATCAAAATGATCCACCTTTAATTTCAATATACTCTTCAAAAACAAAACCATCCCCATGCAGTTTATATGCCACATTGTTGTGCATATGTATAGATAATTGAGAAGAGAAGGTAAAAATTAAAAAAAGGTGCCTTTCATAATTCCTGTCATATTTCTCCAAGGGGAGTACACAAAGGAATGGTTTTTTAAAAAATATATATAATTTAATTATTTCAAGTGCCTTATTTAACTTGCATATTCTTCCCATATAAGAAAAATATGTATTTATGTATATTTTTCTTTTGCTAATAATTTTAGTACAATTTTTTTAACTTTTAATTTGCTGTTAGCTTCATAAATTAAGATTAGAATGTTTAATTTTAATGAGAAATAAAGATATGGTGTAGTTGTAGTGTATAATGTATACAATCTATTTAGGACCCAGTAAATTTTGTTTTTCATTTTAGTATTTGAGGGAAGAGTCATGAGGAGTATTTCAAAATGAAATATTTGTCCCAGTTTACTTGCTTTTATTTCTTAGAATGCCTCTAGGCTTCAGGTGGATCACCACATCTTTAGAATTAATGATGGTGGGCAGCTGAAGGGCTCCAGTGTGCTACCCTAGAAGTGGCAAGGATTGGTGAAATTGCCACTCTTAGTATCAGAGATAAATTTAAGAATAGCAGCAGGGCAACCATAGAATGCTGGATAAGAGAAGTGGGGAGACTAACGACAGTTTTAAAAAAAATAAAACTATGGAGAGGTTATGGAGGCTGCAAAGCAACTTGGTGAGATTAGGGGTAACTTGGGAAGTGTCTGTATATACATGCCTTGGATATATGGGGCTGTAATATACAGTATATTCCTTTGCCATGTGTAATGGTCTCCTAAGTAGACCACCTCCACCATTTTAGAGCCATTACATTCTCCATTTAGTGGCTGTTCGACATGTCTGTGTATGTTTTTTTACTGACACACATGTCTTTTAATGTTGTCTGGGTGTTATTTTATTAAAGAAATGCTTACTTCCCACAGCCCTAATATTTGTGACCACACTTGCTTACCATTTTAAATAGATTTGTCTTTAACAGTAAAGTGCTATATGAGACTCTACTAGTCATCTGACTTGCATAAGTGCTTCCAACGTTAGCTTGGCTTAGATACAATAGCAACGTTAATCCCTGCCACATGGGAAGTTAATACTTGGTTGAAGACGGACTATACGATTTCTTATTATTACAGCAAAGTCTTCTTTTTTCAAGAGATTCTGGGGTATTTATTTCAAAGAGATTTCTCTTAACTAATTACTTAAGTGACATGAAAAGCACCCAATCAGAATTGACCCCATTGTGCCTTTGGGCTATGTTTGCTTTTATAATAACATTGACTTTATATCGCTTGCAGTTTAGACTAGAACAAGAGTAAAATGAACCTTGAGGCTATGAAAAACCATGAGAGCCCCAGCTCTGGTGCTTTTATTATGTGAAATCAGGCATAATCGGCTTCTGTAGTCCCAAGACACAAATGATAAAGAAATAGATTAATAAGAGTATTGTTTACTTAATTATCACCCTTTCCAAATTGATGGGAGAAGCATAGATTTTAACATTTTGCTAAAGGGAAAAAAAAGACTAAATGGTACTGTTGGTATTGCTTTGATAGGAATTTATTTTCTTCTTGGATGTGAAGAGTGAAAATAGTATATTTAATCTAAATAAAATAAATACATTGACCTACAAAGAGTGCATTTAGGAAAGGCTTATATTTTTCTAAATTAGTATAATGTGTTACAAGATTTTGATGCTGATATACTTAATTTTTTAAAAAAGAAATTACTTTTCATTTAAAGAGAATCTGCTTCCTGCTGAAGAGGCTAATATTTTAATTAAGTCTAGAGTGAAGCTTTTTGAGTATCTGCTGATAAACTCCCACTTTTATGTTGATGGTAATTAAACAGATCCCTAAGGAGCCCAGGAGGCGCTGCGCAAGGCCCATGCTAATTGTCAGACATGAGACACTGACCAGTTGGTTTGCTCTTGAATAGCTGATGGCGTGCTGTCAGCACAGCAGTTTTATTTTTATGTATTGTGAGCTGTTGTCAGGGCTAACTGGGTCCTATTGTGGCTGAAGATGTTGCGCAAATTGAGGCAGATGGCTCTGATTCAGACACGTGTCATTCAGAAAGGGGAGAGGGAATTGGCCCTGCAAAGTGGGGTCACTGTGGGTTGCAGACCTGCTCCACACTTGTTAGTGTTTTCAAAAGCCCATGTGCAGCAACTTTGTTGTACCTTGGGTTCTTCTCCCTGTTTTTTTCAAGAAGAGGAGGGGCGGGGGCCATTTGCTTTGTGGAACATCGAAAAGTAGGCTCTTGCCATGTCTTTCCATCCTGTCTCTCGGGCCTGGCTGTGCATGTAGAATGAATTAACAGGATTGACAGAAGTTCATTGTGCCTAAAATGGCTTTTCAATCAGTTGCAGTGCTTAAAAGACTAGTTTTGCTTTTAATTCCATGTAATGAGTAGGTTTTTCATGTTTTGGAATTTAGTAATAGAGGATTAGAGCCCACGATTCCTTTTATTGGCTAAAGTCATTAGAAATCTATTTAATGTTCAGATAAGTAAAACTGAAAAGATTTGTTAATTTGGAAAGTTTGAATCTTTGAGGGTGCTTGAGGGTGTATTTTGTGGAGGACCTCCTTTATTGATTACCGTATATATTATATCAACAAGACTTTAGCTCTTGAATGAATACAGTTAACCTTCAGATCAGTTATGTACTCTGAGAAGCTGTTTCAGACAAACTTAAAACTGAACTATTGCTGTTTTAAGCATTCTTAGTTTTCTTAGATGTAAATTACAGCATTGTTTTCATATTGCATTGTGCAATGTTAATGGTTTGACTTTGGAGAACCTTTCTGTTCTGTGGGTGTCTTGTGAAGTTTCATCCCATTAATCATTGAAATAAACACTGCATTTTATTTTAGTTTTGTAGGGAAGCACTCACCAATTTTGTTTTTAATCTGTTAGATTTGCGGCTAAAACTGTGCACAGTGGGTCACTTGTGCTCGTCACAGTGGAGCTGGAGGAAGGATCCACAGCCCAGCTCTTCATCAACACAGAGAAAACAGTGATTGGCTCCATTCTACTGCGGGAGCTGAAGCCTGTCCTGTCCCAGGGGTAACCCGCTTACATCTGGACTTCAGAATCTGGCACACCACAGCAGTGCCTGGCATCCACTACGGCTGCCTTTCATTTATAATAATAGCCTTTCCATCTGGCAGTGGGGGAAGAATACACTCTTGACATTCTTGTCTCCTGTTTTAGAATGCTGTAGTGTGCCTCCATCACACAAACAAGTATTTTGCATCAGTCCCCCCGCTTTCTAACCAAAGAAACATGTATTTTACTGTCACTTAAATTTTAAATGTTAGTTACACATTTTTTCCCTTTAGCCCAATTTTCCCTTCACTCTAATTTCATTATAATTTTTCTATTTTCTATGAAGACAGAAAAAAGATGATAAACAATGTTACTTAGAAAAATCAGTAGAAAAATCAGTTTAATTAGAATGTTAAATAATGTTTGTAGAAATCAGTATGAAAAGGTCCATCATGTAAGCTTTTGGTATGGAATTTGGGGCGGCAGGGGAGAGTCAATGGAAAAGAATAGCATTTTTAGTGTTTATTGCCCAGTGGCTAAGTCTGTATTTAATCATTTATTTGTATCTGCTTACCATAGCTGCCATAACACCTAAACATTGAGATGATAATAAAGTCATGTTATGATAAATACGAGTTCTTCTTTTTTTCGGATAATTGGATAACACCCCTGTTGATCTTTTGTAGTCAATTGTTTCCATAATCAATAGTTACATACATACATACATACATTATAAATAATATAAAAGGCCACATATTTAAATACTGCTAGAAAAAAATGTGTCACTAAAATAGCACTAAACAGTAGACTGTGCAGATACTTCAGACAAAAAGAGCTGCAGTGACTCAAAGGTTTGGTGCAGTGACTTTACAGTCCACCTTCACAGTCTTCTGGCCATACAGTATCTCACTGCATTGGGTATCCCAGCAAAATTACTTCCTGTGCATGTACTTGCATCCTCAGAAGTTCTTGGGAGGTCCACAAGTAGTCATGTTGAGCTTTCAAGAGACCTTCAGAATCCTACCAAAGAAACAATACCCTGTACAGTCAATGCATGGACTGTAATAGCTATTTTTAAAAGTTGTTAATATTCCTTGTATAATTACAGTAGTATTAAATTTGTCAATTTTAATAGCATATGAATAAAAAACTAATAAATTCCATTTCTGAAATCTCCTTTTCCAACAGTATTGCATTTGTTCAATTCTTCTTGTATAATAGTGGTCTTTACTAGTTTCTGCATGTGCCTTTTTAATGGATTTCTGTCTAACTAGTGTCACTTCTTTGATAGAATGCTCTGCTTCAGCAAAAGCTGGGGGGAAAAAACATCTGGAAAAAAGAAAACAGGGTGGGCAGAAATGTTGTGCATTCTCCACTGTCCCTCCAACTCCCACCCCTACTTTAAAGACTATTACAAAAGGTCTTGGAACTTACCTGGAAAGTTTTATGGTGGCCACAATGGAGACAGAATTGTGATATATGAGAACAATGCATTGATAATAGGACTAACGTTATTGAGTTCAATAATTATCTTGATAATGCACATAAAACTGATACGATCTAAATACAAGTCTGTTTTTCTTGAGTGGATCATCAGTGAAAAGCTGTTTTAGCTTCTCATCTTCTGTTAGCTTGAGGAGCTAAATATTTTTTTTCTGTAGAAATCTGAGCAATGAAAGTAAGAAAAATTAATCAGTAATTTCCAATTAAAATGCATTTTTATTTATTTATCTGCTGTACTCTGCCATCTAGAAACTCAGTGGCGTAGTCACATGGTATTTCTGTACCATGGATGCTATACACCACTATCATTGGTGTATCTGATATATAAGAAAAGGCTGCAGGGAATTCACTGTTCTACTGAGCATGAATTTGATGAGGCATATTGGCATTCTTGGCAGTGTCATTGGCTGAGGCCCAATTTTATATTTTGCTCCCATTTGAAAATTATTGCTCTAGAATTAGCTTATGTGATACCTCTGTAACATGTCAATGCGTCAAATGCCATCTGATCTTGTGTAGTACTGCATCACCAGGGCCACTGAGGTTTAATATGAAATAATGTATGACTTGGTTCCAGCTAACATTCTAAAATTACATAAGGATAAAGATCCTCTCATAAATGCAGCCAATTCTCACCACACTTTTTCAGCCTGTTTTGCAAAAATGTACAGTGCAATAAAGGAATCCTATTCTGACCATAAACCGAGACAATCTTATTTATTACAACATTTATGTATCGCTGACACTATATAGGGTGGTCAAATTACACCTCTCCACTGCTATCTGTTTGCTAAATTGGTTAACAGACAAGTAGCAATGGGAGGAAGAGAAAGTAGTAGTGGTAGTTTGGCTCTTTTTAATTATGATTTTGACCCAATTGGTTCAATCTCATATTGACTTTAGCTAGGAGGGGAGCTTCATAACCCTTTATACAGTTCATATCGATAAGGAAAACATGGGAATATTGCATGATTACTTAGCACTGAAGCAACCTTTATTCCAGGGACTTTGGCTCTCAGTTTTACATGAGGAAACTAAACAACTATGATACAGGGATGTCCTTCCAGACTGAATGTGTGGTAGAATATTGGTATATCGAAATATCATTTAGGTAGTTATTGAACCCAGTTGTAAATGGCCAGTTCCCCATTTGAACTAACGATATGCTGACTGAAGCTGTGATATATCCTAATTTTAGTCATGTCTAAGTATGCCTCATGAAAAAGAGGGGAGAACATATGGAGGTTGCATACTGTCAATGTATAGGAAATTAAGCCACAAAATTAAAGTTTGGAAAATCCAAATGTCTACATTTAAAAGCAGATTTCTAGCGCTTCTCATTGATGTGTGCTTTAAAATGTGGGCAGTACTTAGACATTTTTCGAAAATAGAGCTATAGCAGAAGCATTTCTCTGTTCAATGGGAAAATCTCAGTGTGAGTATATCCAAGGCAGAAATGGGCAAACTGGCTCTCAGATTGTTGCAGAGAAGCCCTGTTGAAATTTCACTGCAAATCACTAAACACTGATAGGGTAATCTTCTGCTGATTTCTAGTAGAAAACCAAAGAAATAAAAAACATGATGTATTCATATAGACAACTGTCACAAAAACTGCCAGACCACCCTTAACCCTTGTGGCTTATGACCATCAAAAATAATAGTAAAAAGGGTGTGGCCCCTGAATGCAGAAGGATTACTGTCTGTGATCTAAGGCACTGAACTCTGGAATAATGTCTTATAATGCAATATCTTGCTGGAGTTACAAAACTGAATTTCTTGACTCAGCAAAAATAAAGGCCTTTATTTTGTATGAAGAGCTAGCTAATAATCTAAACAAGTAAATTTTATTTCACTAGATGAAGCAGTAAACCTGCCCCATGAGGTTTCCATAAGCTCATTGTCCTGAAGACCCCAGAATACTAGAGGTAAAAATCTCTGAAATATGAACAATCTTCTGGATATATGTATCAGTAAAGGAACAGATTTTCCTGTAAATTAAACATTACTGAGTCTACTATTTTGTTAAAAGGGTTTCTATATACAGGTAGTCCTCACTTAATGACCATTCGTTCAGTGACTATTCAAAATTATGACCGCTGAAAAAATGGACTTATGACTCGGGCCCAAAGATACAATCATTGCAGCGCCCCCTGCAGTCATGTGATCAAAATTTGGGCACTTGGCAGCCTGCCTGCACTTATGACTGCAGAGGTGCTGTAACTCCCCCCACCAAAAGGGCATAGATTGAGCGGGAGATAGGCGGGTGGGGGGAGTTGCAGCACCCCTGCAGTTGTAAGCAGTGCTGGGCTGGGCTGGGCTGGGCTGGGCTGGGCTGGGCTGGGCTGGGCTGGGCTGGGCTGGGCTGGGCTGGGCTGGGGTGGGTGCGGCTTCCAGGGGCAGCTGCAATTTTGTACTGTGCTCCAGCAGCACTCAACTCGCATGTGGCCTGCACTGGGCCTCCCAGGGTCTCCCCAACCCCCTTGAGGCACCCCCGCGCTCCTTGCCTGGGAATCTGCTTAATGATCCGTGATTGTCACTTAACAATGGCAGCTGGGGTGCTGGGATTGCAATCACTAAGTGAAGCAGTCACATGATAATTCACTTAATGACCATATCGCTTAGTGACCTAAATCCCAGTCCCAATTGTGGTTGTTAAGCGAGGACTACCAGTATAATTAACTTTCCTATTACTGAAGTGTCTTTTTATCAAGCATACATTTCTAAGATATTTAATTGGCCAATAATAGAGGATTTCCTCTATCCAACACATACTATTTCCTGATCAGACTTTGTAATTTGACTCTTCAATAGCATGTTAGTTTTGAGTCTTAGGAGTAGAGACGAATTCTGATGTTTGGTCTGGTCTAGCATGATCCAAATTTATACATACTGTTTCATGCAAGTGATTTACCTGAGCATGATGACAATGTTCAGCTGTTGAGCTTACGCATAAGGTTATCAGCAAGCATTTGTTACAGAAAGGCATGTTTTAGGTCAGACAGTGGAACTTCATGGTCATGTAGTTCTTAATTGGACTCCACATAGTCTGTGTCTGTTGACTGTGTTGGCCAGGCTGATGGGGATCTGAGTCCAAGAACAGCTGGAAGATTCTCAATATGTTATCTTCGCTGTTATCAAGCTTCTCTAATTAGAAGGATTTCAAGTATTCAAAGCGACCCATGTAGCTATAAATCTAGGCAGGTAGGCTTTTTTCATCATGGCCCTTTTAGCCTTTTACAGTGTTTGCAAATACACCTCTTTATTCTCATTTATCATTCATTTCCATGCCTGGCAATGAAGTAGCCGTTTATAAAAGTAAATTAAGATTTGTGGTCCACTGGTTATTTTTAATGCAAATTTTATATTACTTTTCAATATTGTAGTTAAATTCCAGCATCAAAACAAATGCATTGGGAGATTATCACTGGTCTATTTCATTTGGAAGTATTTTATTTTATAATGTGTACGTACGTGATTCTTGTATGACTTTTGATTTTCTAGAGTAATGCGTGTGTGTGTGTGTGTGTGTGTGTGTGTATTTCTATGCTTTCTAAAAACCAGTTTATACATTTGTGAGCATCATTTTTTCTCTCCTGTTCCTCTGAGGATATAATCCTTTATAACATAGAAAGGCATCTCAGGGGCCATAGGATAATTCAGAATTCTTCTAAAATCAGAGCAAGAACTCTATCCAATTCTAGAGGGGGAAATATAGTGTAAGATTGTTTTGGTAATCTGTGAGGTTGATACATCGTTGATGTGGATTTAAGGCAGGGCAGGGGCTGTAGAACTGCTGAGTACAAAGCCCTCCCAGTCACCATGCCCTTAATGAGAAAAGTGAGCATTTAGACTACATTGGAAAATGTACACTGTTTAATGAATGTTCATGGACAGCCGTCCCCTTCGTCTTGCTTGATGGCCGTTTTAGGCATCTGATGGACTGTTGGTCGCTGGTATTTACGTTGTAAGTTTCCACGCCTTTTGTTGCTCGTACTGCTGCAAACAAAGGCTCATCCTTCAAAAATGGCTTAAATTGAATTTCATGAGACATTTTTTATTTCTAAACTATTTGAATTCCTGACAACTTGCACAGGGAAATAATTTGGCTTTTTTTTACTATGATGTTT